TGTAGGTGTGAATGTGAGTGTGCTTGGTTGTCTGTCTCTAAGTGTAGCCCTGTGATAGACTGGTTACCTGTCCAGGTGTCCCCTGCCTTCACCCTGAGTCAGTTGGGATAGACTCCAGCCCCTCGCAAGCCCAGTGAGGATTAAGCGGTGTATAGTGAATGGATGTATGGATGGATAAGGATGCTTTAAAAAGTTCTCGGCCTCACCCAGAAACAAGGGGTCACTGTTGACAAAAACTTGAATGTTTGTCATCATTTCTGTTTGAAAATCAGTAGGGGAACCAAAAAATGTCATGCTGTTGCTCCTGGACAATGTGTCCATCAACACTATCCGTTTCCCAAACTGAAATCAAATTGCATGGTTGCCATTTTCAGACTGATGATGAAGTCATCCATGCTGTTAAGGAGTGTCCAAAGGCTCAACATGTGACCTTCTTCTGCAAAGGATGAGCGAACCAACAACAATCTCTCTCCTGTGACTTTTTCTGGCGAGACCAAAACTTTTGGAAGTACCCTCGCAGGGCTAGAATTATGTGTAGTAACTGCTGTTTGTTGTTGCTTTGGCACACTCAAGTCAGCATTGCTGTCGAAGCTGACCACGCCGCAATGCAGCGCCATTCAGGGAGCCATGCCCGAAAACAGTCATGCCACATCCCACCTGCCTCAAGTTCCTGCAGTGAAAGGCCACCTAACTGTAACCAAGCAGGTCAGCCACAAAGTCTCCCCTAACCTCACGGAGAGTACACAGCGAAAAAATTAAAATGCAAAGACGCACACATGATTGATTGACAAGGAGAATTTTGCTTCATGGCCGGTGGGTTATGTATTCCTGTCCATCCCCTGCTGAGCCTCTATGGTCCCTCAAAGCTTCAGAGTAGCTTTCATTTCAGCAGAACTTCAAAGTAAATCTACATTTGAAAGTGTAGCCTTAAACCTCAGGTGTCACACAGTCACAACAACCCTCCCCTTCGTTCTGCCTCCACCGCTCCTGTAGCCTGCTCACCTTTACCACCAGAGGGTTAGTGGTGATTTCAGGCTTGGTCCTGTTGGATCTGCTTCTTTTCATGTCGCACTGTAATTATTGTGCAGTCCGACACAAAGTCCTTAATGCATAAAATTATTTAACTGATTCAAAAGCTGCTGTCCTGTGCTCGAAAAACATCTTTGCATGTCTGACACCTTTGCTGTGACGCATAATCAGTGAGTCTGTGTGTGTGTGTGTGTGTGTGTGTGTGTGTGTGTGTGTGTGTGTGNCGTGTCCCCAGATTGTGGTTATTAAATTTCAACTCAAGATACGGCACAGATCATTCATTCTACCACGCCTTTATAACCGCTACATTAAGCTGTGTTCCAAACGGGCTGTTTCGGTGTCTGTAGCTTATAATGTAAATGAGCCACTGCTGCCCACACACCTTTCTAGAAGAGGGCTGTGCCTTCCCCGCTGGAACGAGGCAGGAGAAGAACTATGCCCGGGAACAAAAACCTCTGAGTTCAACTGTACGTGTTTGAACTACAATCAGACCCAGAACAAGGAGCAACTCCTGCAGAAGTTACAACAGTGAAAACGCAGCCTGAGTCACCAGATGTACGCTTTGGATATAATCCTGCTATTTCCGCCACCCATGTCATGAAGCTTCCTTCTCACTTTGAGCTATCGCTATCTGTTACCATTTTTAAATTCTCATTTGCTGTGGAAAAACAACAGCTGTCAAAATGTCAGGTTTTGCAGAAGATGTGGATCGTGCAACATGCAGCACTTCTTGTTTGTTTTTGGTGAGTTAGCTGTTTTAATGACACGATTCACCTCCCTGCATGCAGATATTCCAACAAAACACTTCCCCTTTCACCATGTTGCAGAGGCGCCATTGTTGCATCCTGGGCCTAAGATGCCTGCGATGGTTTAAAGAACATGCAGAATGATAATGAGCTGCAGCTACATCATTTTCCAGCGATGTGGAGATGGAGATGTCTGACGAAACGACATTTAAAAAGCACTTGATTTATCTTTTGTTTATTATTTTACCTGTTATGAAGAATATAAATAATAAGAATAAGGAAACAGGTGAAAAGTAGCTGCTGCTGCCTGCTTTAAGCCCCACTGGGGGTCAGATGTTTTTCTTTTCTGTCTGAGTTGAAGTGAGTGAAGCTTGCGTTACAGCACAGCCATGCTTTGGTGGTGAAGACGAGAACAGCGTGAGTGCTGGTATCTTTATTAAAGTGAATCAGTGATTAACTCATGCATGAATCATACATCAATAATAGCCCAATTTTAGACATAATCCATTATGAGGAAGATACAGAAAATAGAAATGAATGGAAAGTACTAGCGTGCTGTCAATACTTGTAAACATGTTTGTCAGCTGAGCTCATGTCTTATAAAGAGGACATACTTTTCAACCTCTTAGGATGCACACCACTAATTTCCCTCCACATAAAACTCTTTGACTCTATTTATGGCAGTAAAATGTTTTAATGCATAACACTTTATTTTTAAAAATCGCAGACATGATGGTGGCGGTGTCCGGTGGGTATGATGCAAAGGTAAGATGTTAAATAGAAAATGCTGCAGAATCATCTACAGATGTCCCTACAAATGTGCTTAAGTGCTGAAGTGATTCTTTGTAATTTCATATTACAGCTGAAAACCTGAACATCTCATTCAGAAACACTCTTTTTTTGGACAGTGGAGAAGGGAAAGAAAGAGGGGACTTTCCTTTCTCATATTTTGTTGATCACTAGACACTGAGACACATCATTATAATTTTAAAACAATGCAAAAGTGGATTTTGCAAATGATGTCCCCTTTAAAAGGATCTGACAACAATGGAACATGTGGCCTTGTGCTTTCAAACTAAGGCTGAATAATGAATCAGTCAGGTGCCTTTATATTTGTGCCACTGCTTGTTAGGTTGCTATCTTTTGAAAGATGAAATAACACATTGTTCTCGTACAAATTTAAAGCTGAATCCAATCAATAAAATACATCCTGTCGTAATTCAATACAGTCAAGGTTTTTGTACCCCAGCTGCACAGGTCTGACAATGACAGTTTTCCTGGTGATAGATTACTACAGGCAGTGCCTCCCTCAGTCAGCAGGATGAGGTGGAACAAACATAGCACATGACAAACTAGCAGATGACCAGCAGTCTTTGTTTATGCCACTATAGTATAGAAACCTTATTGCATTATATGTGTTCTGCATCGCATGTTTTCTCTCGACTATCTTTTTGTCCCTTCTCTGTGCTCTCATCCCAACTGGTTGAGGCAGATATCCGCCCTCCCTTCGCTTGGTTCTGCTGGAGACTTGTCCT